CTAGGTAATCTGTTAGAGCTAAACAGAGGCCTGTTACACTGCCACTGACACCATCAAGTGTTCATTCTTGGCTCACAGGCTCTGTTCTTTTCACAACTTCTTTTTTAATGATAATAATATTCATTTTCTACTGGAATTCAAAGTTGTAGTGATGGGGGAGGTGTCCTATATATTTGTTTGTCTTGTTAGTTGATGAATAAAACACTGTTGGCCAGTAGGGAAGCAAGATAGATAGGACTAGGAGACAATGAGAATTATTCTGGGAAATGTAGTAAAGAAAAGTCACCATGTGATCCAGGCAGGAAGTGACATAGCAGGCAGAATCAGAATATAAGCAAGGGCAAGCAGGAAATTGCTCTCTTCTCGGCAGAGATGCTGAGCAGACGTGATGTAGACCCCAAGGGAGTAAGAGGCCTGGACCTTTCCTCAGGTAAGAGAAGGCCATGAGGAAATAGGGCCAGGGAACCAGCCAGGCCAGAGAAAAACCTCACATTACAAAATTGCACAGTAATGAAAATAAAACCATGTGTATATAAATTATCACAGATAAGAAAATTACTCCATTTTTGAAATTCAACCATTTCTTAATATGAAATTGTAAAAAATGTTTCCCATTAACTTACACGATTGTTTTCTGTAGATCTGAATAAGAGACTCAAACAGTGGTTTTACCTCCTTTCTCAGAAATGATAGGGATCTGATTTTGTCAGACATTCCCTAAAGAAGTTAGCATGAATCCTGTGAAACATTAGCGCTTTTGATATGGCAAAGTCCACAGGCACATCATCTTAGCCCTTTTGATATGGGGAAAGATCATCACTAAGAAACAGTGCATACTTATTGGGGAGGAATAATTACAACAGTTGTTCCTCTAAGATGGCTTTAGCGGTCCCTAAGCCAAGTAAAACTCCATCTCCAGACTATTCATGATCATTTGTTTATCTGTGCTACCCAGGGCAAGAAATAAGAAATGTGCTCTTGGCTCTTCTGTGTTTCATGTCAGAGTTTCTGACTTTGGTGAGAGGGCAACAGACCCTCTGATTACTCAGAAAGGACTGTGGATATTGACTAGATGCCTACAACCGGACAAACATCCAGACTACAAAGATGTAGGCCTTGACATTGCACTATTTTTTAAGGACTCCAAAAATTTTTCAAAGGTCATCTAAGCCAATCTTCCATCTAATACTGAAATATTCTATAACATCTTTGGGTTGGAGAGATGCTCAGTGGTTAAGAGCATGTATTGCTCTTGCCGAGGACCCAGATTTGGTTCCCAGCACCCATTTAGAGGTTCACAACTGCTTATAACTCCAGCTTCAGGGGATCTGACACCCTCTTCTGGAGTCTGCAGGTACCAGCTCTCACATGTGTACATACCTGTGTATAGACAAACACACACATACATACATACATATATACATATATATGTATATGTATATATACATAATTAAAAAGAAAATCAATGTTTTTCATCTACATTTAAAAATCTACATACAAATAAAAGTGCTTGATACCATCTGTAACCAGATTCCTACCATCTCTTGACGTGACTAATGTCCTCAGTCACATGACAGAAGACCACTGAAAGCCAAAATGAACCAATAAAAAAAGAAAGAAACTTTACTATCCTATGCCTATCTTCTGACAGTCTGAAAGGCAATCTTGCCTGATTTTTTGGCCCCACCTAAATTTTTATTTTGCAACTTCAAATATGAAAAGATGTTTTCCTTTTCCTTATCTATCTGGATTTAATATACGATTATTATAATAAAACTGCACAGCTGTTTTGAACACACTGGTCCAGTGTTTCAAATTTGTACAAGTGGAGGAACAAGTGCTAAAAAATGAGTAGAAAATAGGTTCATTTTAGTGGTAAATAGACTTGTGTGCAATTATAAAAACTCTGACTGGGAGCTGGGATATGGTAGCTCAAGACCCAGCATTCGAGAGGCAGACAGATAGATCTCTGTGAGTTCAAGGCCAGCTAGTCTACAGTAAGTTCCAGGACAGCAAAATCTATACGGAGAAATCCTGTCTGGGGCGGAGGGGAGGGGCAGTTTGGACACTGAAAGAGAAAAATATTCTTGACATTAATAGAGGTGTTTCTGAAACTCCTACAATATCCAAATACCTCAAGTAATTACAAGTTGTGGTTTTGTGGTCAAGATTCTCATTTTCCAGTTAGACAACGAGACAGCAACATTAAATGAACTCTTCAGTGCATAACTCTTGTCTTCTTATTCTTTACCTAGTCCATGTTTATGCACCAAATAGGAGTTATGTTTAACTTGTTACCAAAGTTTCCTTTTTCTGTTTGTTCTCCAGGGAAGACCTAGTTTTACTTGCACATTTTTCACGAGCATCAAATAGTGGGTGATCTTTCAAGCTTGAACAGCAATAGTTGTATCGCTGAGGAAGGATTTCTTGTTTCAAACTGTCTGGGTAATGATTTACAGCTATTTTTGGTAATTCTCAAAATGACAGCTCCTTGAATTTTTCTATGTGCAGAAAAATTTGCTGTCCCAGCGTCTTCAGGCCCTGGGAGGTCCATTTCAGTCCTTGGCAGATGGGAACAAAGGAATGCTCTGGATGGAACAGATCTGTCATTATTATCCTGTGATACATGTGAATGTTTGACGAGGTTACCTCCAAATGTCTGTGAGCTCCTGAGGCCTAGGATTTGGGGAACAGAATAACCTATGAGTTGGGTGAAATTATAAGATTTGGACATTCCAAGACTGAACTCGATAAACTGGATTCTTGGCAACAGTTGAGTTCTTGTAAAGAGAATTAGCAATACTTTTCAATATTATTTTCATATAAACCTTGATAAATGGATGCTAAAAGGATTGAAAAGACACAAACAAGGAATAAAAGTAATTACCTTTTAAAATTACAAATGTTATCAGAAAATACAGGCAGTGTTACTGGCTACTGGGATACATAAGCTGGGAGCAGGAGGGAAAAAACAATAAAAGAGGAAGGGAAAGAAAAAGTATATTATTAGGAAATAAGGAAGAACATAGAAAGACTTTTTCTTGGAGGTGAACAAAAGAAAGTGTAGCTAATACATTTCCCAATTAATTCTTTATTTAAAAATCTTTTGTGCCTGCATTATCTACAGGATAAATTCCAGACTCTTGGTGCTGAAATTTAACGAATGCCATGATCATTCTAGACCAAGCCTGTGTCCCTAATGCACACTCTGGTTTATTTATTGACTGTTCTTTGGACATCCCTTTGCAATTCTCATCATCATATTTCCAGTACTACTACTACTTTGCCTGTATTGTGAACCACATGCAGTGCCTGTTGCCCACAAAGGCCAAAAGGTGTTAGATCTCTAGGACTGGAGTTATAGATGGTTGTGCCACCATGGAGGTGCTGGGAGTCAAACGTCTAGAAGAGCAGCCAGTGCTCTGAATCACTGAGCCATCTCCCCAGCAACCACCAACTCTTCATCCCTTCTTAAAGAAAAGAAATGCTGTGGCTTGGGAAATGGTCCTGCAGTTAAAAATGCCTTGGGCTTTTCCAGAGGACCCGAGTTTAGTTCCCAGGTCAGGAAGCTCACAAGCCTGTAACTTCAGCTCTAGGAATCCAGCATCCTTTTCTGGCCTCTGAGGACACCTGAACACATGTGACATATATTCAAATACACACATAAGTGAAAATAAATAGAAAGGTGATGCTTTGTGTACCAAACTCAGTGTACCATAGTGATTGTCCTTTCTAGATCATCAATACATATTCATTGACTGACTGACAAGATTTGTTACCTTTATGCTGAATTGTTTTATAAATGCTGTTTTTCAACAGAAACTTGCAGATTCATATTTATAGACCCCATTCAGATCTACTTTATCAAGTTTCTTGTCTATGCTCACTGTATCAGTATCCTTGGTAATCTTACTAGGTGATACTAATGTTATCAGTGAAATAAAGGCCAAAAATATCTCCTTAAGAATTCTACCAAAGCAGCAGGATGGTGGTGGCACACGCCTTTAATCCCAGCACTCAGGAGGCAGAGGCAGGCGGATCTCTGTGAGTTCGAGACCAGCCTGGTCTACAAGAGCTAGTTCCAGGACAGCCTCCAAAGCCACAGAGAAACCCTGCCTCGAAAAACAAACAAACAAAAAAGAGTTCTACCAAAGCATCCTTCTCTGGGAAACACACTATGTTAGATGACCCTCAAGGATTCAATTGTGGGGTCAAAAGAAAAGCCCATTAGTTATGCAAAATGTATGCAAAGTCTTAGCAATTTTGGCCCTTTAATTAATTTTCCTTCTAGGAAATACATTTAAGAGAAATAAAGAGTTACACAAATACTTTAGCTACAGGGATATTCACTGTAGTAATGGGTATATCAATAGTTTAAACCTTTGTGATAAGACAGCAGGTGATTGTTCAAAGAAACTGTTACTCATACAAGTGAATGTGTTCCATACAAGAATATTAAAGAAAACATACAGATATTCTTTTTCTTTTTTTTTGGTAGGGTCTGGGAATTGACCCCAGGGGTCTTGCACATGCTAGACACATACCCTACCACAAAGGTACATGTTTCTAACATGTTATATAGAACAAGTCCTTAATTTCGTTTTAAGGAATTAGAAATATATATATATTCAAATATCGATATTAATATTTTTGAAAAGATAACAAACCTCTAAATTTTCTACAGTAAAGATGCACTGTTTTACACTAAGAATTTTTTTAACTAAGGATATTAAAATTGACTTACATACTTAGCCACTACCATGGAGTTTCTTATTAGGTCATAGATCCTACAGCCAAGAAAAAGTATTGTTTCCTTTGGGGGGAGGGGTTAATCACAAGACACACTAAAAGAATTTTTCCTCGTGCTAGCTAACTTCTTCAAAAAAGTGAACTCATGTCTTCCTGCTAAAAGCAACTGGTGCAAAGAGATGAGGGGAGAATTTCCTCCTAGCGACAGGGCCCATGCTCGCAACTCTGACATCACGTGGTTTGTTCTGCAGTTGCACGGGAAGTGTATGTGCAAACACAACACAGTGGGCAGCCACTGTCAACACTGCGCTCCATTGTACAATGACCGGCCCTGGGAGGCAGCAGACGGCAGGACGGGGGCTCCTAACGAGTGCAGAAGTAAGTATCAACCTCCACTCCTCAAAAGCCTTCTTTGTAGAAGACACTTATCTGTGAATTCCTTCTTATCTCTTGAAACACAATATAAAGTGGTGGGTGACAGAAGCTACACACAAACATACCCACATCACTGCCCAGCATGACTCCAAGCACTGGAAACAGTTAGTTTGTGGAGCTGCCAATAGGACAGAGTGGCCAACGATGGGCTGTCTATTTGCTTGGACACTTGTGGGACCTAAATGCTGTCCTTGAGAACTTGACATGATACAAACATGAGTAGACACAAGCAACTAAGAGTTATAGCATGCGACTGCTCTCATAGCTGTGATGCTGGATGTTAACCAGGAAACAACTCTTTTAAATTAGGTTCACATACCACCTGAGAGAGCAGATGGTGTCAGTCCTGTTTTGGAGATCAGGAAACTGAGGCTCTGTAGGATTAGATGTCTAACCAGTTAGAAAAAGAAGGACTAAGGACTGGATCCCCAGTCTTTGGGGTCCATCAGATACTTTCCCCACTGATCCATCAGACCTGGATTAAAACAGCACGTCAAGGATGGGATTGTTTTACTGGGACTAATTTGGGGTTTGCATTTGAAAAAGGGAAGATAGGGCATGGGAAATGAACCATTTTTCCATTTGCAGTTTACAGTGTTCAGAGTCTGGTCCAATGGTGGCAGGCTGTCATTCAAGTGGGCAGATGTTCTGAGAAACACGTGCCCACAGAAATGTTTCCAGTCCCAAGGCTGTTTTAGGAGGATTTTTAAATCTTGTGTCTACTCATGTTTGTGACATGTCAGGTTCTCAGGGACAGCATTTAGGTCCCCCAAAGTGTCAAAGCAAATAGCATATCCTTGTTCACTCAATCCTATTGGCAGCTTTGAGACTGTTTGTACCATGAATAAAGCTCTAAGAAGTCTCTCCCCATACACAATCTGGAATCAGAATGGATTTGTTCCTAAGAAATACAAAGGGTTTCTTCTAAGCATAAATATCAAACTATCATATGCCTTTTAAAGATATGAGTCTGGGAAAAATATCATGACATGTCGAGGAAACAATGAAAAAATAGCACTAGCATTTTCAAATACAGTTGACTTCCGGGGTAAGGGTGGGGATGTCTGGATTCTTTTCCTAAATCACTTATCAAGAGAATCTAAAGAATTTCTCCTAAATTCCTAGAGTGCCATTCTGGTCCTTTCCATGGAAACCCACTGCATATCTAAATACACAGACACAGAGACGTGTCACTTGGAGCTAAAGACTGATAAGCTTAGAGATGCCATTGAGAAATTATTACATAAGGAGCACCGAGGCCTCCTCTATAAATGGAGGCTTCAGTATCAGACTTCCTTATAGTCACCAAATGACAACAGCTGAGAAATGTCACTCCATAGACAATAACTTAAACCAGGCCTGATGGTTCAGACCTGTGATCTCAGTTACTTGGAAGGCTGAGGCAGGAGAATTACAAAGTCAAAGCCTGCCAGGGCTATAAAGTGACTTCAAGGATAGCCTAGGCAAATAAGTGAGACTCTATCTCAAAATAAAGTCAAAAGGTGGGCCAACAATAAGACTCAGCTTGCAAAGATGCTTGCCACCAAGCCTGATGACCTGAGTTCAATCCCCAGGCTCCACACAGTGGAAGGAAGAGAGCACTTCCAGTTCCAGCTGGAACACACATGGTGGAAGGAGAGAACTGATCCCTATAGTTGTTCTTTGATATGCAAACGTGTGCGGTGGTGCCATGACATGTACGTGCACATGCACAAGCACTCATGAAAAGCACCTAGCACATGTTAAACCCAGGGCTTAATCTTAGTTCCACAAGAGAGAGATACTCAGGCTGTGTTCACGGTCCACCAGATGCTTCTTTCTAAGCTCATGGGTGAGCATGAATTATGGTTTGTATCTGCAACATACTTTGTATGTTTCAAATAATGCCCAGAGTCTTAGGTTTTCTCCACTGAGACAAGAGATCCACTGATCCTCAGAAGGTAGCAGGAACAGAAATGGTCAAGTGTCACCATCAAAGAGGAAAACAGGTGACCTCTCAAATATCTTTCCAAAAGAAATGCCAACCTCAGTCTACGGAGTTACCAGAATATCTTTACCTGAATGGACATATCTTCACTTTGATAAATGTTTTAGCTTCTTTTCCTGTTGCTGTGATAAAATACTCTGAAAAAAAAAAAAGCCATTTAAGGAGTTTATTTTGGCTTATAGTTCGAGGGCACAGCCCATCACAGCAGGGAAGTTTGAGTACAGGAACTTGAATTAGGTGGCCCCATTGCATCCACAGTCAGGAAGCAGGCAATGGGGAATGCATGCTAGTACTCAACTGTTTTCTCCATTTTGTACAATCCAAACTCCATGCCCAAGGATTGGCTGGTCCACAATTATAATGGCTCCTCCCACACCAATTAACATAATGAAGATAATCTCCATTGTTGAGGCCAATTTCCCAAGTGATCTAGAATCTGTCCAGTTAACAATTAACTCTATCCATCACAATGACCTTCATGTATATACTAACACTTTAAAATATCAATATACCATGAAAAACAGAAATCTAGATAAGACGTGTAAAATTAAAGTGGCACCCTGATCAAGGGAAAGCAAGGTATTTCTTAAGATATTCCTGTTTGTATTGCTTTTATTCTCGTACTATATCCTCTTCAATAAATTAATAAAATTTAAGTGTAACAATGACTTTATCTGATTTTAACATCTTAACCATAAAAGAACCTGTTGCAGTGTTTATGTCTCTCCTGTGCTGTTTTACCGCCAGCCTGCAAGTGCAATGGGCATGCCGACACCTGTCACTTCGACATCAACGTGTGGGAGGCGTCAGGGAATCGAAGCGGTGGTGTCTGCAACAACTGTCAGCACAACACTGAAGGACAGCACTGTCAGCGCTGTAAGCTGGGTTTCTACCGTGACCTCAGGAGACCCTTCTCTGCCCCAGATGCTTGCAAAGGTAAGCATGGTACCTAAGGTGATCTATGCAAACAAGACATATCTTACTGTCCTTCCCTTTGCTGGCCCAAGGGAGAAAGCTTATGAAATCCTCAGACAGTACACTTGGAGATATCAGCTAATTTATTACCAACAGGAGCCAAGAATTTTCAAGCTGTTCAGTCAAAACAGTCTAATATTCATGAAGGGAATCTCCCTTTCTCCCCCGACCCCCCCCCCATAAAGAAGAAGTTTCCTGGATTTGAGTGCTCACTTGCACTTTGGCTGTACCACCTGAACCATGATCTTGAACACCCTGGAAGAAAAAAAGAAAAAGGCATTTTCATGCCATGATGAATGTATTTCAGTTGATACTGCTCAAGTGTACCCTGTTATCATGACTAATGCAGGGCATAATAATTTTATGATCTCTCTTAAAACATGGGATGCACAGGCTAGGTTCTGCTTCTCTGTTGGCATAGCTCCCAGAAGTTCACTTGGAGAGACTCGATTAAAAGTTTAAAAGGTCTGCCTCCGCCGGGCGTTGGTGGCGCACGCCTTTAATCCCAGCACTCAGAGATTTTTAATCCGCAGAGGCAGGCGGATCTCTGTGAGTTCGAGGCCAGCCTGGTCTCCAG